CCCAAGGGCATAGAGCATGGAGGTTTGGATCATGAGGGTCCCATGTAGAGGGTGAGAAAGTGCAGTCTGTCCTGGTAGAAGAGTGCCAGCAAAGGGCATTCCCTTTGGTGACCACCTTCTTTTCAAGAGAAAGGCCACCGACCAGCTAGAAGAGTGTCCTCCAATAGCTGGGGGCATGAGAAGAGTTCCCTTGGCCAGGCACCTGGACTTCATAGAGATCAAAGTCTTAGAGTAGTCGGGGAACTGTAGAAGTAGGCAGGACAGACCCACTGACTCACCCTGAATTGAGGCCAGTGTTGGATGTGTTGGTCTGAAACGGCAAAAGGAGAGAGTCCCAGATGCACCCAGTTTCAGCAGGTGCTGGAAGGGTGGCCGGGGGCCAATCACCCCAAGAGAGAGGGGATCATCCACAACATCAGCCAAAACCCTTCCCGGGGTTTCAGCACCATGATGAAAGAAAGTGAGCCGAGATCCCGGGTACCGTTCAAGGTTTATTAAAGGAAGAAAGCTGCCGGACTGTGCTCAAAATGGAGGACAGCCCTGGACTGCCCTGAAAATGGGGGACAGCACCAGGTGTGGGGGTGGTAGAGCTTATATAGTATGTTGGCACCAAGAGCTGGGTGATGTAATTCCGGGGTGGGGATTGAGTTAGGTCATGGNAAGGCTATAGGTTGGGGACTGGGCCACTCCCTCTCTGGTGAGTGGCACAGTCAATCCCCCAATGACCTGGCCATTTGTAGTGAGGACGGGTTATGACAGGCCCATGCCGAGTGGCCCAGTTGACCACATTAGAAGCAGTTCTGAGGTGGCTTGCCCCTTGAGGCAGCCAGCTTTAGAGTACATGAGCCTTGGATGGCATTAGCCAGGAGCTGGTATTTGTCCTGATCTCTTTTATAGTTTTTTCAAATATCAGGGGCTGATTGGGTAATGAAGTGAGAGTGTAAGAGGGTCATGCATGCAGGGGAGTTTGGCTCTATACATCTGTATTCATGTAAAGCCTCAGAGAGGTGGGTTAGGAACTCGTTGGGATTTTTAGTGGATCTCTGTGTGATTTCTCTAAGCTTGTCATAATTGACTGACTTGTGAGTAGCCTTTTGGAGGCCATAAATCAAGTGTGTGATCATATTATCCTGGAGATCCCGATCCCTGTGGCCAGCCTAGTAGTCTCAATTTGAGTCCGTGCAAGGAACAGCAATGGCTCCCACAGGCTGCCTATTATTTTGAGCATGTACCTGAGTTGCCATCTAGACCTGCTCCCTGTACATGGACTCAGACAGTTCCTTCCATCCCAGCCACTTCACAGAAGGGTTATAAAAAGCCAGAGCTGAGGTGAGGTTATTACCTGACGATGGGGGAGAAGGGGAGGAGTTGGGCTGAGGACGAGCGTCTGGAGGCCACGTGTGGGGAAGAGAGAGAAATGTGGAGGGCTGATGGGTCAGAAGATTGATCCGAGTCTGGAAGGAGAGGTCGTGCATGAGCTAGGAGAATTTGAGGCATAGGACAGTTTTGACAGAGAGAAAAACACGTTCAGAGATAGGAAAAGACCTGAACAAGGAATCGCTTTTGCCATTTTGGTGAGTGTCTAAATCGATTGCCATCTTGTGGCCACTGGGATCCATTGTAATGAGGCATTTGAGTTTTAATGTCTCCCTG